CCTATCCCCCTGTGTGCCTTGCCTCCCACGACTGTAAAATGGATAATTTTATAAAAATTTAGTGGCATTCTATTAGTAGTTAAAACAAGAGAAAATTTTTGTATAGAACTCTAATTCTTCGTATTATTTCATGGTAGACCCTCTTTCCGTTTTTTTTTCAAGGTGTATAAGAAAACCCCTAAATATTTCACCATACCCCTCATCTCTTATCTCCCTCTTTTATTGACTTTTGATCATTAAAATTAGCTTCAACAAATCTTTTCATACCATTTCAATTGAAAAACTTGTTTAATAGGTAGAAAGGGAAAAAGATGGTTAAATTTTTTTTGAAATGAAATGGTATAAACAAATTTGTTGGGGCTAATTTTTATGATAAAAAATGAATAAAAGATGGAGATAAGAGATGATGGGTTACGATGAAATCCTTAAAGATTTCTTTGTGCGAGTTAAAGAAAAACATAAAGATGGTCTACTATGAAATAATAGGGTTCTATACAAATTTTTTCCTAAAAACAATTAATGTGCCTTGTGAGTGATGTCACATACCATATCAGTGATGTCATTGTTCATTATTGTTAATAAACGTTTTTGTTTCTATTAAAAATTTCTAATTTACTTTTGACTAATTATTTAAATTACCTCTAAACAAAAAATAACTATCTTATAGTATAAAAATATCTAAATGCTTAAAAATGTTGAGTATTCTCTACCCTAACAAAACCCTATTATTGGGGGAGATATGTACTACATTTAATACACCATATAAAGGAAAGAAATGATTATGGTGAAATGACGTTCAAAATGTGCAACCTCTGGTGTTGGGGGGTTGATCTGGGCCGTGTTAATCGCAATTATTTTGTAGGCTGGGCGGCCCATAGAAATAGAATCCTCATCCAAATGGTAAATTGTTTTATACGGGCTAAGCCGTCTAGCCCGGATAAGACCTCTAGCATGGCCGGTGGAAATTGCATGGACACGCTGCAATCTCTACCATTCAACCAAGTTGGACGGTCCCGCATAAAATTCGTGTGTGAATCATTACACGTATTTAAATGAGTCCATGTGTTATTTCCCAAAAGCCATTGATTGTTTTGAGAAATTTCAGTCGATAAAACCAGCTACTTAACATTAAAAAATAGATTTTGAGCCGGTGTTCGTAAAATCGAATCGAAACTGTTAATCAGACATAGAATCGAAGCGATTTAACTAGCCTAACCGGTCAATCGGCCGATTCAACCGTTCTAACAGGACAAGTCTCCCGCGATAAAAAAAGTATTGAGAAACAAAAACAAAAAAAATATATTAAAATATGAAAAGCATATAAAGAATGATTAAAACAAAACAAATTCAAATGAAGTTGAACATTAATGAAAAATTATTTTAATGAATCGATTTGTGCTTATCGGTATTTTTAAATTTTTTGAAAAAGATGAGAAAATATAAAAGTGAGTATTAATAGCCAAAACAATTTTTAATCTTTACCATAATGCATAAAATATTAAAAATGTATTACAAACCAAATTCTTATTTTTTAGAATTTATATGCATTTATTTATTTTAAAATAACGGTCTATCACCAAAATCTATTCCGATTTAACCGGGTGTTTAGCGGTTAGATTGCCTGATTTTTCTAACAATAATTTTATATTAAAAATAGTGTGTCCTAAAACTCCAATTAGACAATTTTTTAGTTCAAAGTCTAGCGGTCAATAATGTTTGCAATCTCCTTACACAAAATATATACATTTTCATTTACAAATACATAGATATGATACAAGGATGAAGTAGTTTGACACGTTAGATACACTCATATATTCAACGACATAATAAATTTTTCGTTATACGCTAGCCCAAGCATTAGGAATAAGAAAATTGTTCTATACATCGGGGATACATTTCTACATTTGCATCCCCATATGTATAATGCATCCATGTTAAAAGATGGATGCAAACGAGTGGTCTATCTAAAAACAATTGAAACTAATAGTCGAAATGATTTTAAAAAAGTTGTTATTTTTAATTTTTAAAATTTATTTATTTTTTCAGATTCATTATCGCCATAATAGAGATTGTTTGTCCTTAAAAATTGGAGTCCATAAATCAATCTTAAAAGTTGTATGTCCTTAAAAATTGGAGTCCATAAAATCCATCTCAGAAGTAGAGTTTCAATAGGGGGTTCATTTCTATGTGGACTCAATTAATTCTCATAGTAATTATGTGCCAAATATAATATATCTATGCTGCAAATTAAAAAAAAAAAAACTTTGAGCCTAATCAATTGTAATACGTCTTGTTATCTAATTTTAAATAAAACAAGTAATTAAACTATTATAAGCTTCTTATACTAAAAATTAATGGTCCTAATGTATAGTTTGTGAGAAAAAAAAAAAGGGGAGTCCAGGACAAAATAAAATTACAAATGTTTATTCATTGGAGAGAAATTACCCAACTAAAAACAGAGAGTGTATGTTGTATCATGATAAGGGTACTCATGCCACAGGTACTACAAAAAATTATCTTGTGAAGGGTACTGTTGATATCAATTTGGAAATATGGTCTATTTTCCTTAGAACGAAAATCTGGTGGCACCCTAGGTATCTCTCGACTCCCGCACTAACAAATAAAAAAACGAAAACGCATTGATCCATGGTATATATACAGGGAGAGAGAGACACGTGTGGGATAGAAACACGTGTGTGAATTTTAGTGGGTGGAAGAGCTTATACATGGCTGGAATCAGGAAGAAGACGAGGAGAGATACGGTCCTATCTTTCCACACGTGTTGACGTAAAGAATGGTTAGGGAATAAGGACAGAATGCCTAGCATAAATGAAGCTAGACTTGGATCCAAACTTGACTAAGTTCGGGTCAATGTTTAATTGGATTTAGACTCGACCCATCGGATCCAATATTTGGGTTTAGACACGGATCGGAACCAATCCACTCGTCAGGTCCATAGGTCAATCCGACCCATTTCCCACCCCTAGTTAGCAATGGTGGAGGCTTGGCTCATTCAAGGCCTTGGTTCCATTATTTTCATGGTTCTCATTCACATTGGGAGTGAAGATGTGCACTATGACTCACTAGACCTTTGCGAGATGGGATCTAGGTTTGATCACAAAACCATGGATAGCGAGGCAAGTGTGTAAGGGAGGGAAGATCAACCCAGAGAGGTTTGAGGTTTACCGCTAGTCAAGGTCAATAAGAAGGCATCATGATTATAACGACACTAAGAACTAGTCAGGGTCAACCAAATATATGCAGAGTTTTTTTTTAAAAAATAACCAAACCGAGAACTAGGCTCGAAATAGGCGTTTAATCTCAAAATTATATATATATATATGGTATGCCTTTGGCTTAGCTATTAAGAGATAGGACTGAACAATAATTCCAAACTATAAAGAAAAATAAAATAAAATAATATATTATAAAATTATTTATTTTTGGTACAAAAAAAACACAATTTTTCTTAACTATCAAGTTTCTAATGCTTAATTAAAGGTGTTTCATAAAATTTGAAAAATCTTCTTTGGAATTTTGAGCTGGTGAATGACTAACCCCAACTATTTTGTATGCTTTTCCAAAACTAGCATCTACAAGCAAATGGATCCCAACTAGGGATGGTAAATCCAAATTTAAATCACTCTTGTTCCGGAGGCCAAACCCGAATCGATTTGAACGGAAAGGGTTCAAAATGAGGCCTCCGCTTTTTGGAAGAAAGTAAAAGCAGCGACTCCCGTCCAACGAAAATTTTGTTTTGGAGTCTAAAAACCTTCACATCCATCACCTCAATCTTAACTACTATAAATATGAAAAAAATAGTTCATAGTGTAATACCTTATCTAGACTTTCTATTGTCAAATATTCATTGATCTTGATATTTTTTGTGCTACAAATTTCATAATCAGTTTTAAAAATAGATTTTAAAGCCATTATTGAGGTTTCTCATGCCCAAAGTATTTTCTGAAATAAAGGCTTTATTACTTCTTTTTTTTTTTTTTGACACCTAAGCCTTATTTTAAAGGAAAAAGTTTATATAAGGGTGAGGGTCCAAATTATCAAATTAAGGCGCACCTCAAAATTCACTAGAAGAGGTTGTTTCGATATCCATAAATCCTCCAATCGATCATCTCAACCTTAAGTGGTTTTAAGTCTTGGAAATAGGGCATCTCGTAATACATTTTATGGACGGTCAATTTTTAAGATTTTCAAGCATTTATAAATCTGCTTGATCTACACTATTTTTGGAGCTTTAAATCTTATAATTAGAGATAAAAATAAATTTCCTGGCTATCACAAATATTTCTAATACTAGAACATCTTTAGACACAATTTGAAGGTGCACATTACTTTGTTTAGAGCCTCAGCCTTATACAAACTACACCCGGAGCAATTACATAAGGATAAAAATAAAATGACATTAGCAACTATGTAACCATCATTTCCCTTATACAAGGAACAAAAACTAAGAAAATGAAAAACAATAACAAACCCACCAAAAAAAATTGAAAATAAATTGACTCTAATTTACCCCCTCGCCATTTTTCTCATTTTCGTGCTTGACAGCCTGCAAAAGAAAGCTTCCTTCTTCCAAAACTATTTCTACAGGTGCAGCTCCAAGCCCATCAGCCGTTGCAAGCATTATCTCTCTCATCTCCGATCGAAACTCCTCCAAGTCCACAGCTCCACTATGATCGTAGTCGAACTTATCAAACACCGAATCATAGAGACGAGTCAACTCTTCGGGTGTCAGCCGAGAATCTGACCCAAAATCCGACTCTAAAAGCCTCAGGCACTCAAAAGCCCGGCGAAGCTCAGAGCGAGAGAGCACACCATCGTGATCGATATCTAGATCGGAGAAGCTCTCGTTTACCGACTCGTTGAAGGCTTTCAAGTCTTCGACGAAGTCCCTCACAGTCGAACCGTCTAAAATTGCAACACTCATTCTCTCTCTAGCTGTGGCTCTCTGTCACTCTCTTTCTCTTTCTCTCACAGTCTCCTCGCTCTTTTCTGTTTGTATCTGTTTGAGCTGTGTCCTGTTTATATAGAGAGGTGGAGAGGCATAGATTTAGTGGAAACTTTCAAAAGAGGACGAAGAAAAGTGGACCGAAAGTACCACCCCATTTAATTATTTTTGCCCAACAGCTACGCTTTTTGTTTTGGGGACAACATTTTGCACAATATTTTTTAAATGACAAAATCAATCCCTAACTTTTTGAGAGAGGATGAGTTTTTGTAGTGCCAAGGCCGCCGCTTTGCGATATTTGGTAAAGCCGCACCTCGAAACCCCACCTAAAAGATGAGTTAGTGCAGATCTACTCCTAATTATAGGATTTGAAGCCGCATAAATGGTAGAAATCCCCTAAGTATGTAAATATTTGAAAAAAAAGATCCAAATGGTAAATGTTACAAAATATGATATTTTTAAAACTTGAAATCCTCTTTTCTTTTTTATCAAACCTATAACCGTTGAGGCGAGATGACTGATTGCATTTTTTTCTGGGCCCACAATTGCATTTTCCTACAAATTTTGAGTTGCAACTTTATAAAATTGCTGCCCTATAGAATACCAAACAATTTAGGTGTTTCAAAACCCATACCAGATAGGCTGATGAATCACCAATCGGACAAACTTGGATGGTCAAATACGAGCCGGATCAATATGATTTTCCGACATGAAAATTAGTCCAAAACATATCAGACAGAAGGTATGGCCTTCAATAAAACAGAATTATAGAACAAGATTCATGTAATCAATCTCAAATAGTTGGGATAAAGCTCGGATGTGATAATAATGATATTTGAAAAACATAAAAAAAATAAAAAATAAAAACAAATCAATAAAGAAAAGGGCAGGTTCAGTCAAAAGAGAAAAACATTAGCATTAGTTTTATTGATCACCCATTTGGTCAAATTTCTAGAACCAGAGACTTTCACTCGTTAAATACTTTTTATAGAAACGAGTGGCCTTTGCCAATTGCTTGAGCAGTGGGAAGGCGAAAGTGCAATTTTCCCACTTCTTTTGGCCATTATTACTACAACGGACGAATTTTACGCGCACAAAAGAAAACGCAAGGAGGCCACATCCTTCGCATATGTTTCGTCGAACAGGTTCTTTTCGGCCGACCACACACGTGGAAAGATCCGATCCAGACACGTGGCAAGATGAATATATTCATGCCTTGCAACGGAAGCCTGGAAGTTTTAAATAGGTGAAATTAGGGTTTCTTTTAATAAAATTGACAATTAATTTCATTGATAATTTTAGCACCCAAAGCTTATTCCATTGTGAGGAGAACGAATTTTGATGGATATTATTTTAATCCTTTCTTCACTGAGAATGCAAGTGCTACACAAAATTCAAGGATTGTTTTATATGAATGATAGAGAATTCAATTTATTCTGCTAAAATTATTGTTGCTGCTCATAAATATTAATAAATTTTAGAAAATATTATACTCAATTTCACTTTTTCCCTTCTTTCAACTATTGCAACTTCATGGCAATGTGTACTTTAATGGGTATTTGAAATCAAAGTAAAAAAAGATGAGTAAAATGTTTGAGGAAAAGTAAAGCATGGGTCAAGGGATACATCTCTACAGTTGACGCATTTAACATACATTCTGGATGGGGTGTGGCTTGTATAAGATCAGGCCAAACCATCAAAGTAAGACGGGCCTTCAAATAGTGTTGAAAGATATTTCAATGCTTCAAATCATTGTGATGGTCTGAAAATTTATTTTTATTTCTAATTATAAAATTTAAAACTTAAAAAACCGTGTAGATCAAACAGATTTCTGAACATTTGAAAACCTTGAAAATTGACATTCCAAAGATGAATTAAAAGATGTACTATTTCCAAGGCTTGAAATCTTTTTTTTTTTTCTTTCATTTCCATACATCTTGAAGTTGAGATGATCAACTTGAAGATTTCTAAGCATTGAAGCAACCCCTTCTGCTGAATTTTTGAAGTGCGCCTTAATTGGATTGTTTAGGGCCTCGCCCTTACATAAACTCATCAGGGTGATTCATAATGGCTGGGTTTTTTAGCCTATTAAGTTTTTGAATCCAAATTCCATCACTAAATAGATTTAGGAGAGAGAACTCATCTGAATAAATGAGTCGGCTGAGTCAGAAACTTTGTCCAATGCTAAATAGTTGATGTCTTATGTGTATTTGGATTAATGTCCATATAACAGAAAAGAAGAAAAAAGAAAAGACTTGTTGTTTAGGTTATTGGGAACAAATTTCTTGGATTTGAAACCCTAACTACCTCACCGAAACTGACATATCTACCCCAAAAGTAAAAGGAGACATATGTACCCTAAAAGTCAAATGACTAGAAGGAGATGACTCTGACTGCAGTCGGTTTCTAGGAGATCATCCTTATGCAGCTGGTTTAGAAGCAGTAGGTAAGATTATTTATAGGGTGCGGTTTCTATAAGGATGCAACCTTAAACAATCCAATTACGCCGCACCTTAAAATTTTTTCATAATATGTAATTTTGTTATAAAAAATTCTTAATACTATCTT